TCATCACTACTATATATGGGCACACTCATCACTACTATATATGGGCACACTCATCACTACTATATATGGGGACATTCATCACTACTATATATCGACACACTCATCACTACTATATATGAGGACACTCATCACTACTTTATATGGGGACATTCATCACTACTATATATGGGGACACATCACTACTATATATGGGCACACTCATCACTACTATATATGGACACACTCATCACTACTATATATGGGGACATTCATCACTACTATATATGGACACACTCATCACTACTATATATGGGCACACTCATCACTACTATATATGGGTACACTCATCACTACTATATATCGGCACACTCATCACTACTATATATGGAGACACTTTTGCCCAGTTAAATACTCACCCTTTTGTGATAAAATCTATGTTAATTTCGCCCTTCACATGAAGTTACTATACATTGTGTGTTGTAAACTAAATTTTCCTTGCGTGATGAATTTGCCTTTATTGGTGAGTGCGAAAAGGTGTAAGTTACATTGCCGTAAATATTTTCCGGTATTCAGTAAAAACAACAAATGTTCATACTCCCACAGGAAGTGTTATAAAAAACAATTACATAATTATAATATGTATTATCATGTTAACAGGTTGATTGTATTGTGTTATGGAACTCCCTGATAATTACCAGTCATGTATCTATGAACATTTCAGCACAGACATATAGTGCCGCGTGACACTGTCTTGGACTTCATCAATATGATGCTGAAAAGAGCGATGACTGCCCTGGCCTGTCTGACAGAGGAGAACCTTGGACACTGGTACTCCGATACAGAGAGGGAAGACATAAAACAAGATTACAGGGAAAAGGTCATCAAGGTCAGTCTTATAAGGTCAAGGTCAGTCAAATGACTAAAGGTCAATCACATAGTTGTCAAGGTCTGTGCTGGTCAGCCATACTTTTTTTTTTACCTAAGATGAGTTTTCTCAAGCGCCACTTTAAAGTACCATCTCACTGAAATTACATAATCAGGGCGCAGTAGTATAACACTCCATCCTGTCCAGGATAGGACATTTCAGTGAGATAGCACTTAGAAATAGCTCTTAAGTGACCACATTACCTGTTTGACACTGTCTTCATACATATATTACCTCAAGTAAGCTTTTGCCAAGATTTTAAAACCTAAACAACAAACACATTGAAAAAAACACTTAACATTATTATTTTAAATTGTATAAAAAAAAAAAAATGTTTGCATGTCCAGGTCAGTTTGTTTGAAAAGGAGACGAGGTTGAGTATTGTTATATATTCATAAAACCATGTACCTATGAAATACATTACAGGCCATTCCTGAGATCAAATCTCTGTTAGTGTGCTGGGACAATGCGACGTCACTTGGTTCTGAGGTGAAGACACTGGAACCTGAGAATGATGGCAGTAGAGTCACAGGTAAATAGCTCATTGGGTTGGCTAGTAAAAATTGTAGGGGCTATATATATATATATGTCAAAATGATGATAGCAGTAGCTTGACCACAGATAACATGTAATGATTGTTGTCTTGTGATATACAGTAAAACCTTGTTATATTGCCACTATTTGGCCAGAGAAATTTTGGTGTTAAAAAGGGATATGGTAATAAATTTTGGTTTATGACATTCCACTTGAAGAAACACAAAATGTTTCTAAATACCTATGAAAACCTGATTCCAAATTTTACCTTATGATACAAACATGTAGATGTGAAAATTGAAACATTAATCAGACTGAAACAGTATTCAGGACAGCTTGAGCTGAGATTTGAAAGGTTATGACGGAAGAATTTATCTATAATTTACAAAATCATTTGACTTCATATTTATTTGAAAACTGATTTAATATTGATTGTAGATGTTGCCTTTGTGTCCCCTCTTCAACACATGATTAAGATACAACAGACACTCTGTCTGTACCAGGACCTCATGCCCACAGTGCTCGTTGATGATCCTGTGATTATCTACAAGTTACTGGGTGGGGTTAAAAAATTGTCACAGACATCAAACACAGACCTGGTCAAATCTAAGACTGATGAGGTGATGATGGAGACTAACGATGGAGGCAACCAATCAGAAAAAGTCAATGATAATAGTGACCAATCAGTAACAGCGAATGGTGACAATGACCAATCAGAAAAGTCTACTGAAACCAGTGTCAAAGCGGACCTCAACACATTTGATCACATGCTTCCCCAGTTGTACCTTCTGAAACTGTTGTCTAGGACTGATGCCCGCAAGCTGCCTTGGGGTAAAGATGTACGTATGACACACTATGCATTTGGTTTGTGTTAAGAGCTTTTTTGGTGTATTTGTAGAAATTGACGAAATATTAAAGGAGTTAATAAATCTAGCATATATTTTTTATTATACTACATTACAATCAATATGTTTATCACATTAAGAGGATAAGTGACAGTTCTTGAATAGCCTTAAAGATATAATTAGCAACATCTTTTTATAACATCGACATAGCTTTACTATATTTGTTGTATTAAATCACTATATTTGTTGTATTAAATCATAAATATCTTATCATCAGTCAGTTATTGAAAAACTAATCACTAATTTGTTAACACTGTAGAAACGTCTGGTTACCTAGTCATCACCAATTTCTTGAAAATGAATATTTGGATAAGTATATACTTGCAATTATTAATTGACTTGGTGTACTAATGTGCTGTTTAAGAAGGTTAATTTGTTCATTCTGTTTCCAGAGTCAAGATGGCCACTCCCTGATGTACATATTACTGGAGATAATGATGGAGGTCAGTTCCCTCTGTCAGACTCACCTGACTGTCACTACAAGGGACCTCATCTCTCAGGTAAATCTCGGTAAACTACAGACCCTCATCTCTCAGTTAAATCTGGGCTAAACTACAGACCCTCCTCTCAGGTAAATCTGGGTTAAACTACAGACCCTCCTCTCTCAGGTAAATCTGGGCTAAACTACAGACCCTCCTCTCTCAGGTAAATTTGGGCTAAACTACAGACCCTCCTCTCTCAGGGAAATCTGGGCTAAACTACAGACTCTCCTCTCTCAGGTAAATCTGGGCTAAACTACAGACCCTCATCTCTCAGGTAAATCTGGGCTAAACTACAGACCCCTATCTATCAAGTTAATCCGAGATAAACTACAGACCCTCCCCTCTCAGGTAAACCTGGGCTAAACTACAGACCTTTTTCTCTTGGGTAAGTTGCTTGTGAAGTTCAGAGCCTCATCTTGTGGTTAAATCTTGTGTAAAGTATGTCGGACCCTTGTCGCTCAGGTAAAGTCAGTGCAAACTACCAACCCTAGTATGTAGATCTAGTGTAAAGTATGTTGGACCCTTGTCGCTCAGGTAAAGTCATTGCAAACTACCAACCCTAGTAGGTAAATCTAGTGTTAAGTACAGATCCTCATCTCTTAATTCAAGCATGTATAATGTACAAGTCCTCATTTCCAGAGCTAAGTTGGTCTGCAATACAGGTACCATATCTCAGGTAAATCTTGTATACAGTATACAATTGTTTCATGGCTATTTGGGGAACAGTCAAAACTATCATCCCGAGGTAGGGGGAAGCCCTGGGGAACTGTTTGCCCGAGGCCGCTAGGCCAAGGGCAAACAGTTCCACAGGGCTTCCCCCTACCGAGGGATGATAGTTTTGACTGTTCCCCAAATAAACATGAAACAATTGTTTTATTACCAAATAAATATTAGTATCAATGCTGCATGCAATGTTGCCATTGCTTCAACACTGAGTCGCGGTCACCGAATTACTTGAAGGGGGCTCTCGAGGGGGGATTTCTGCGCATCAAATTCGCGCCGGGTAACAGTTCGCTCTGACCGGGAAAACAGTTTTGACTGCTTCACCCCCACAGCCGAAATTGGACAAAAACCCAGAAACAGTCAAAAATGACTAATTATAATTTATATAGACTATTGGGTAATAATACAAACTGTTACCCCTAAAACAAGTTTTGTGTGTAGTGACTGAAGTCACTATAGAACAAACTTATTTTCAGGTAAATCATGATTTGAATGCGAGAAAGAATGGTAGTCTAGATTCAGACTTCTTGATTTTATAAATCATCAAGTATATTACTTACTTAGAGGGTTTAAATACAGAATTGAGTTGCTTGTTTCGGTATTCAAATTCTTGAAGTCATCTCCTTACAGTTACAGTCTAGAAATATAAGGTAGATAAATGACACCATGTGTTAGATAGTAAGTTTAGGTGTCGTGTAGTAGTATTGTAAGTAACTGTGTAAATAAACATCAAAAAGTCCCCAGAATTTGTTTCTATTGTTTTATTTTGATCCTTTTTTCCACGCTGGCAGTTACTGTATAGTACGGGACTGTTTGAGTACCACCAGGGGGAGCTCCAGTTGTGGATCAGACAGTTCAATCTTTCCATTAAGAATCTGACCACAAATGAAGACAAGATTGATGTCATCAAACTACTGACCCATGTCTTTACTACCTTCATCAAGAATCCCTATCCCTATGTCGACAAGGTCAGTGACTTTGTGTCAGAGGCCATCACCATGGAGACAACAGGGGGCAGTAACCTTGACAACATTAGTGTTGGAACTCATGACAGCATTATTGATGGTAAATATCTCTGGAAACATCTGTATAGCTTACCTGACCAAGAATTACTATGGTTTCATTTAAGTTTGTTTTAATATAATCATGTAACGCTGAGGTGAAATATTAAGATCAGTAGGTCTTTAATTAAGAAAATGAAAACCTGCAATATTTTTTTTTATTAAACTATGAATTCAGCTTTGAAATACTCCATTTTAGAAGATGAGGATTCTTAACAAACATTTCAGAATGAGTATTTTGTTACTGTAAACCAGAAAATGTTTACCACAGTGTAATTGTTGCCCCTTTTCACCCCCTATAATGAAAGCAATATCTACATGTTGTATTTCTACTTTAAAGGTCAACATAATTAATGATTAACACCATTGAAAGGTGAATATTTATCTGTGTGAACATTCTGTGAGATAGGGTAACAATTGGATTTTCCATATCAATGTCTTTTAAAGTGCTAAAGAAAGACATACCCTAGGTAAATCATTAGGGCTACCAGTGAATAATCTTGTGCAAAAACAATTATTGATTCATATGCTACTATATACCTGATCTGTGATAACAGAAAAAGACTGTTTTTCCAGGAATACTCGACATGGATGAGGATATGGAGCCAGAGAGTACTTGTGAATCTGTCGCCACCGCTGTGGATGTCCAGGACGATGCCTTTAGGTAAGGCAGTCACAATCCATTGAATTTGATAACAAATATTTGGTATGTTTTGAAGATATCATATCGGCACTGATCATGGATAGTGCCAATAAAACGAGTTATCACTGCAGTGGTTTAAATGCATTGATTTTCAAGTTACTTAGTCAATCTGATATGTAATGATTTGTTTACGATCTTTGTAGGTTTCCCTACAGCCCAATGGTGGTGATTGCTCTGGAACACTTGACCAAGGCAGAAAGCACACCTTCTAGTAAGTGTATACAGATGGTCTCGGCTCACATCACAAGTGTTTTGTTCAATCATGCTCTTTTAAACTTCAACCACTCATTAAACTTTGTCATGCCAGACTCTTGTTATAGACACAACAGTTCTCTTTTTGTGATCTTGTACCAGATTTTAGGATGATCTAGTTTGATTTCCCCAATGGTCTGCTTACCTTGTAGCTTAATACTTGACAAGCCTGCTGTGATATCTATTTGCAGGTGTTACAAACTACATGTCTGGAATTGTCCTCGATCTTTTCCATTCCCAAATACAGCCTCTCCCTCTGGTGTGTATGCTCAACAGTTGTCATGGAAATCAACTAGACAGTGAGGTCATCAAGTACATATTGTCATGGTTACCGTCAGAAAAGGTATGCCACTTAACAGATTAGTAGAGAGTTTTCTTACAGAGTTTTCTCTATTCTGTAAGGTAAGTTTGATTCTTAAAATCATTATCAAGGTTCTTAGATGATAATTCTCTAATTTCCTTTAAATATGTAACGATAATCAATATTCCTGAAAGTTCTGAACCTAAAGTACTGTATGACATGAAATGTTTGCTGTGTATAAACATTCGTGGTTTTCATGGTTCCTATTGAACCTCTATACTTAATACAACGAATCCCATTTATATGCATGGATTCTCTTTGTTTATATGGGGAATCCACGAAATTTTTATCGCAAAACAACCTTAATAGTCTCAAACCACGAAAAAAATACCCACAAACATGTCGGGTTATACAGTACTAAAGACCCTGATCAAGTCAAACCTGCCATATTTAATATATGATGTTGGTATAGACTGGAGTTTTATAAAATTAAGTAACTTGGTTATCTAAAATGCATATCAAGGAATTGTATTCTATCTGACTTAGTTGCAGAAATTGAAGGTGCCTAAAAAGGGTGTACAGATGTTATCTAGTAGACCACTGATGCAAGCCTACATCAGGATGTGTGTAAAGTCAGCAGAGGTCCAGGTCAGCGAACTAACAAAGAGTTTGGGGGACCTGGATGTGGAAGACATGCTCCTTGTTGCAAGGCAACTGCTTCTTTATGTTGTTACTGTAGAGAAAACATGCAGCAAGGTAGGTATGCCATTTACATGGCAACTGCTTCTTTATGTTGTTACTGTAGAGAAAACATGCAGCAAGGTAGGTATGCCATTTACATGGCAACTGCTTCTTTATGTTGTTACT